GTGGTGTTTCGAAGTGTGGCCTCCGTCTCACTATTACCAACATCTATCCCATCCGTATGTTGAGTGCTTATTCCCATTTCCAATTCATTTCGATGTATTCCCTCTAACTTTAAATGTTTACTTAAAACGCTGCTAATTTACTAGGCAATGCAACCACACACCATACCAATCACTGTCACTCACCTTCTCACGGCTACTCTTGGCATTGCAATATCCTCCTTATCCAACTTCGTCGCACTTTCCCAAAATTAAAGACAAGTGCCCCCACCCCATTTAACGTAGTTGCCAACGCAAGAGCCACCAAATCGCACCCCCGCCACCCTATCGGTGATGTTTTTTTATTTGGTAGCGCTCTCTCTCCATGCTGACGCGCTGACAAAAATATCCTGGCATCATCCGGCGCGTGACATAACAGGCCATGTGACTTTGTGGTCACGTGACATGACGTGGGGCAAAAACTGGGCCGTCACTGGTGCTGACAAACGTGCTGACGACAGATCGAACGCGGCCTTCGGTGTTTTTATGCAAATGCAAAAGGAACCACAAACAAGTTTGGCGAGTTCCATACTCATGCGTTTTAAAACAAATTAGATCCGGTGGCTATCACTGAATCTTTGGATCAGTAAGAAGATTCTGGTGCACAATTTACAAGAATTTAAGGTATCTGGTACTTGTAAGGCAGAATATAAAATGTGACATTCTAGACACTATGAAGAAAAGTGATAGTGTTGAATCGCTCTGAATAGGTTTGGTTGTTTCAAAGGGCATCAAATTACACGTTAAAACTTTCCATAGGCCACAAAATAATTGTCCGGATATGGGTATGGAAATATGTGAAGAAACTGACAGAAGTGTGAATTAACCGCGTGTGGTGCTGGGATATTTCAACATCCCAGACTGGGGCATATAGCTCGGTCAGTTGTGAAATAGTCACGAAAATATCCTGCTGTTTTGAAGAAAATGTTCTCCAACAGGTGGTGCGTGAACCCACCAGAGTAGATGAGGTTTTGAGTATTGTTATGATTAATGAGGTGGGTTAACAGATGCTTTGTTAATAGGTGGGGCATTGGGAAAGTGGCCATAATATCGTCAGGTTCTCCTTGTGTCTAGGTTATTCAGGTAAGGCTCATCATGCTCTTCTTCCAATTTCTGCTGAGAGTAAACTTGAAGAACGTACAGCCTTTCTTTAACTTTCAGTGGGGAAATATTCTAACTCGTCTCATTGCCCATCGAGTGTGACTTCTGTTCAAGGACATCGTAGGACAGAAAAAATTCATCAAATATTCGTTCTCACATTTTCTTTTCAGGCAAATGCAAGAAACTAGTTAAAGAAAGCCCCCATGGCTGGCACAGACAGTGCACATTTTTACGACTGTGAAAAAGGAGGCACGTGATAGGAAAAAAGTGCAGGACAAAAGCAACAAGGCAGTGTATAGGATTGTAGCAAACAAGCTAAAGCAGAAATGAATGGAGCCAAAAGGTTGCCAGAAATATGGCTAGGAGGCACTTTCTCTGACAACCTTAAGAAATCTCTTAGTTTGTACAACTTCAAATCTAAAGGATCCTGTCTTGTTATCTGTCCGTTCGCGCCTTCCCAGCGATGGATCACCCACACGACGTTCCACAGTTGGCGTCTGTATTTGAACTGCCCCACCGGAGTCCAACGGAATCGCGCCAAGGTACACGGTGGCGCACAAGGCATAACAGCGATGTGGGGGAACTGGCTTCCAAATTGGGGACGCAATACATTTAACATGGGACATGACATGGCAGATCCTGTGTTTGTTCCCTCGAGGAAGATGGAAAGTCATAAGCGGAGAGCACGGATATTGCAAATGCCTGCAGTAGGCATTTTCTCCAGCTTTTACCAAGGAGACTTTGGGATTTCCCTGGAAAATGGTCAAATCCGACTCAAGGTAGTCCTGTGGATTTGATGGTGACCAAAGGTATGGTGGGAAAGCTTGTAGGAAATCAAGGTTGATAAAATGGCCAATCCTGACCAGACACACGGTAATGCGGTCGGCCATACGGTCGTTGATGCCCACCAAAATGGGATCAACATAACGCACGCACATATGAGGTATGAGGTATGAGGTACGAGACAATGTCCTCGCAGACATCGTCCGCGAGGACTTTTGCTCAGCCGAGGACATAAAGGCTTGGGTAAACAAGACTCCCAGTGGTGAGCCATCTGCATTACCATCTGTTTGGTAAAACAGATGTTAATGCAGATGGCTCACCATCAACATTACCATCATAGCATTACCATTTGTTTGGTAAAAAAGCTTCCATTTGGAACACCGGATGAGTGCCTTGATGGTGCACAACCTCAACATGGCACGCATGATGTGTTCAGGAATGCCTGATGTGGGCATAGCTTCATGGTCATGTATCCGACTTACAGTCCGCTTGTCAGAGACATTTGTGAACAGACTACCGACATCTAGGGATGGTAACATGCCTAGTCTTGTTCTTGGTTTTAGTAAATCGACGAACTCAAATAAGGACGTAAGGAAGCATGTGGATGGAACATGGATCTGAGTATCTCATTGTGCCTTTTGGCAAAGTCGCAAGTTGGTAACGGGCTTTGCGCTATTATAGGTCTCACTGGACCATCGGCATATGGACCATGGAGCACATGAGTTTTAACGTCGCCCTAAAAATATCCCGGCTTACATCCACCTGTGATCATTAGCGCAGACGGGGGAGGAGCACGTGCCCCCTCCCTTATGTTCCGAGGGGCCCGAAGGGCCCCTCGAAACCTATGATTAAGGGCCCGATTTGAAGGCCCAAAGGGCCTGAAAAGCCAGCTGGAGGCCTCACTCAGAGGCCCCGGCCCGCAAAGCCGGGCACTCCAATGCCAGCCAGAAGACCCTGTACGCTGATCAGGAGCGCACTGAAACGATAGGTGTCTAGATTTCGATCAGACACCCCCAGTAACGCACAGTCCGTGGCGGCTCCGTGGCGACATGGGCCTGAGGGCCCATTTCCCAAGTGGGGACAAAGCCGGAGCCAGCGATTTACATTGTTTGGGGCCCCACAGCGCCTAACAGAGACCCTGTGTTGTCAAGGAGCCCAGCATGCAAACATCTCAATTGAACAGGCATCGCACATCACGCGACAGGCATCACTTACACATGTAAACGATTTGAAGCTAGCACACATCACACATAGAGGCACATATCACGTTCGAATAATTGGCCATAATGAGCCCTGTATGTTAAGATTTGGTCGCCGACTTTTTATAAGAAAATATTACTTATTTTCTTGTCTTGGGGGTCCTGTGTTCTGTACATGACTTTAAGCTCTTAAGGAGGCATAGGGTCCATGCTTCCCTCGATTTCATCCTGAGCATGTTTTGCCCCCCAAAAAATGGTCACCGAAAGGAGTATTCCTTGTTTTGTTTTTAGCGTCTCGCGGGTGTTCATCTTATCTCAAACGAATAGGGCGCATGGACTGCCCGTCATAGACCATGTCCCTCTCATGTTTTTCACACATTTTCCACTTGATTTCGTAAACCACGTTTTGTTGCGTGCAAACCCCTTGCAACCCAGAACTGCATAAATGGCATCTGTCGTCACCCGGGCACTTAGTCTTTGAGATGGTGGATTTCAACAGAGACATTTTAAGCTTCTTGTCGTTTTTCCAATCTTTGCGTACGCGCAGTTCTGATTTCTAAACAATGTATTTGATTTTCCAAGGCAAATGCTCATCTGTGTAAGGCAGCGTTAAGAATCCGTGTTCCGATCGCACATGTTCGCGCCTCTCACCACCCATCCCCCCACGCGCTCTAGCCGTTTTTACTTCTTCCAACATTCTACCTAAAAATTGCGGAGATTATCCGTTACCCATCAAGCCCATATTTTGTTAATGCTCTTCCTATTCTTTTCACTACTTGATTAGTTGTTTAGAGCCGTATGGAACATGTTGGCGGCTTTCTCTTCCAGTTCCATCACCAGATCCAAGTACCATTCGCGGTGCTGCAAAGAGCAATACGTTATTGTCATCAGTTTAAAAATTTCGCAGGTGAAATATACGCCCGCAATATCTCCAAATGTACGATCTGGTGTCTGAAAGCGTTCAAAGATATTTCTTTCAAATGCGTTATCAATTTCGTCCACCTGTTGGCCACGGTCTCGGGTCAACCGCGGGGCCGACGCTTCGCGGCCTAAGGAGACTGCAACGTCTGACGTCGAGGTTTTGTAGTTGAGATACGTGAGCGCGCACGCTCAAAATTGCATTACATAATTCGTTCCACTAATCGATTCTGACTGAATGTTGAACATATCCAGGCAAACACGGTTTGCCCATATTAATACAAATTGTTGACCCGCTTTGATTTTCGGTCTACAAACAAGAAATCCTTGCTCTCTTTTTACCACCCAGATTAAAAACTCTGATCAAGTTTCCGTGTCATTGTAAAATGGGCGTCGGCGAAGTATTTCATGCAGTCATTTAATGCACAATTATTTCAGCCTATGTTTCAGTTATAGAAAGTAGAAAAATGCAACATATATATATATATATATATATATATATATATATATATATGCGTGTGTGTGTGTAGAAACATGCCGTCATTACTAAATTGGTCATATCCAGTGATCCTTTTTGGGGGACATTTTACTATCAGGGGTCTTTTGTCAACCCTGTCCCTTTCCCTTACCAAAGCTCTGGTTGCGCCCTTGATTGATATAAAACGAATCATTGTGAGATGGCAAACAATGGATGATCATGGCAGCATACATTCTCAGCAAGGCAGTACAGCAATCTTAGGCCTCAAAGACCGCTTTTGATTTGATGACATCTACCAGCATTTATCAGTAGCCCCCCACATCGCTGATTTAGTAGCCTTCATTTGCTCGCCACCCGCTTCAGAAGGTATTTCCGGAATGGAGGACCAATCATCAGCTGACCCGGAATTGTTTTGATCCATGCTTTCAAGGTAATATGCTTTCGTCACCACTCGGGGCACTGCCCTCGGACAACGTGTAGAACCAGGACAGTAGAGCACTAGAATGTAGAGCGGTGCAAGCTGTTTTGTTGAGCACTAGAACGTAGAGCAGTGCAGTTTGTTATAGGGCCTTGAGTGCAAGGGCATAGAGCAATGAAGACGGTAAGCACTTTTGCGCAAGGCCCTAGCTTTCAGGGATGATCTTCGGTGCGGCGCAATCGAGTGAGACATACTGACCTTGTGCCTGCCGAGCCTCTGCTTCCCGCGTTATCAGCGTGGGTTTTAAAGCATAGCAAGCTATAGGTTCCAGCAGCTGGGCCGTTAGGACGGAATCATTGATGTCGCATAGTTGTAGAATCAAGCAGCCTGATAGCCGTATTGGATTTCCCGGCCTTAGGGAGCGAGATATAGATAATGCATTTATGTGTATTTGCACACCGTGCTGATGCACAAACATTACATCACTTTCCACCTTTGATGATTGTAACAAGAGAATTTCTCCAGCATTTTGTGACAAATGATTGAAGAAAGTCTGCTTGAAGATGGGGCAGTGCATTGCCGAGTTTGTTCAGCGATGATGGTTGTTTCATGCTGCATTATGTGTAGCAAGCTGTTGGCTATATCACCTTAGTGCAAGTTGTGGATAAGGGCCACCACCTCAAGAAGAAGTTGAAGAGGCGACATGCAATGTCTCAAGATAAAGATGACGGAGACGTGCCGGTGTCGTGCAGGAATCGTCTTGTTCTTTCTAAACATCACCATCGTACTTGTGTGCCATGCGACAGGCGCCATGGGTCTCGTCATGAAACAAGAAGTGGCGTCAATCAGTGACTTCCTTGTCTTCTACAATACGAGCTCCTTATTTAAACTTCTGTTTTGTGTGTCCTTGCTATTTCTCGTCTTTCATCTCATCGGCGCAAAAATATGCTTCGACAGCGCTTTTTACGAAACCAGGTGAGCAACAACAACTGTTCGCCAATTAAATACTTGAATTGTTCACGAAAGAAAAACGGCGTAATTATGGCATTCTACTGATCTTGGAAATGTCGATTGCCCTAACGCTGTGTGCTAGAAGATTTCAAGGTGTCTCACCTGAAAAACTGAACGACTAAGACAAACGGTCCTGAGATTTCGCCCAGCAGAGGGCCAAATCGGGGCATTTAGGGTCGTTTCAACCAGCAGAGCCACACTTCGTCAATAAGGCATCCGATTTTGAATTTGGGAATTTTGTTGTGCTCGGAGTCCAACTTTGCAGTATCGTGGGACCTGATGGGTCCGTTGTCTTGTTGTAGAAGTCCCACGGGCGTCTTAAAGTGCCAAAAAGTACTGGGCCTGCTGTCAAAAGCTATCAAAAGTACTGACGGGGCCCCCTGGGGTCCCACCACCTCCAGAATGGGAGGGGACATGTCCCCAAAATGACCCCCCCCCCCCACACACACACCTTGGTTACGCCACTAGACTCAGACAACAAAGGCTTCTCTCGTCGCATGGTGTGCCGAGCTGAGTGGAAATAGCAAGGGTCTCACCTCGAGCTAGTGTTTGGCTGCTCCCTTGCGCTCACTGCGGCCCGGTACGCGTGTTGGAGCATGATGCGACGCCTGGGCGCCGCAGGGAGCGGTTCCACTCGGTGCTGTTCTACTGGCTGCTGGCCGGCTGTGCCCTGATCCCGCTCAGCGTGGCCGCTATCATCGTCCTTACAGCCCACCAGAGCCTGGTGATGCACGCCATCTCGCTCGGCTTCAAGCACGCCATGAAGAAGTACAAGGTGACTTTTTCAAGCTCGGGTCTTTTCGGTGCGCTGGCTTGGCAAGTGGTCGCTGCTTCCTCCATGGCGGTGGCGACGTTGGTTGGCATTGTCTCGTGTCATGATCATGCCATGATCGTGTCATGAGTGTGTAAAGATGAGGGATGCGTCGTCATGCCTTTACAACAGATCGACGCCTCGATGCGCGAGTACATAAACCGGCTGCAGATCGAGCACCAGTGCTGCGGAGCCACGTCCGTCTCCGATTGGTTCAAGGTCAGCTGGGTGGACGTCGGCAATACAGTTCCCATCAGCCAGCTGGCAAACAGGTGAGATGACCAACTGGTGGACAGGTTAGCTCCCCAGCTGGCAGACGGTTTATCTCTCTCAGCTAACAGACAGGTGAGCTGACCAGCTAGTGGACAGGTTAGCTTCCCCAGCTGGCGGACATGTGAGCTCTCTCACCTGGCAGACAGGTGAGCTGACCAACTGATGGACAGGTTAGCTTCCCCAGCTGGCGAATAGGTGAGCTCCAACAGCTGGCAGACAGGTGAGCTGACCAACTGGTGGACAGGCTAGCTTCCCCAGCTGGCGAACAGGTGAGTTCCAACAGCTGGCAGACAGGTGAGCTGACCAACTGGTGGACAGGTTAGCTTCCCCAGCTGGCGAGCAGGTGAGCTCCAACAGCTGGCAAACAGGTGAGCTGACCAACTGGTGGACAGGTTAGCTCTCCCCGTTAGCGGACAGGTGAATTCCTCAGCTCAAAAACATGTGAGATCTTCCAGCTGCTACGACTGGCGAACAATAGCCGAGTTTGGCACCGCGTGAAAGCAAACCCCGTGTCGCATGTGAGGTGTCAGATGCTCTCTGTTTTGTAATTTGTGCGTGGCTGCATGCTACCGCTGCTCACGGTTTCCGTACGCTGGCGCGCTGGGTTTCAGCCGCTACATGCAGGCAAACGGCGAGTTCCTCCCGCGCTGGGCACCGTTCAGCTGCTGCCGCCAGGACTCCATCGGTGCGTTCGTCTCGGCTTTCTAGCAGTCGACGTCGGTAACCGCAAGACTCACGGCGATAGCACGCTGCTGTAACGTTTAAACGGTCACCACAAGAGCCGAACAGTCCTGTGTGGGACAGCTTACCAATCAGGGCTCAGTACTATTCTGTTAATGGGTTATGGTAACTCCTAAGTCGGCGGAAGGGTCGCCGGCCCAACCAAATCCATTCACCGTCCAAACAAACACATAACTCCTGCGGAAGCTGTTGTTCAGCAGCGTCTCAAAGCAGCTGGCGCGTGTGGGAGCGCAACCAACGCGCACTTTAATGCTCCGTGTTGTTTTTCAGGCGCGCCTTGCGAGTCGGTCACAATGTTCTTTCAGCCAAAGAAGAGCGCAGACTGGGTGAAGAAGTCAAAAATATACTCGATCGACTACCTGTCTCAGTTTGACAGATACAAAGCTGTCTTCAAAAACGTGTCAGCGATGCTCCACGAGTAAGTGCATATGATATTAGGAAAAGACCACGTTATATACATATATTAAATATCACAGCTACGACACATTTTGCTGCACAACGAAAACATTGCAAATTATATGCTGTTGCGTTTGCTTGATGAGGGTTGCGCATTTAATGCTGAGTGCAAATTGGCTGCCGCTCCTGCACTTTCGATCATTGTTACTGTACTGATGTCAATAATTTCACTGGCTCGGTGCGACAGTCACCGCAGTTATAGTTGTTGTAGTGGTTGTAGTTAGGGCATGCCCATCTGCACCCGTGCCCTCGGCCCGGATGGCAGCAGTCGGTCTCGCTATCCTGCGTTACCCGTGGCATGCCTGTTGCGACGGCGTAAACACGGCAAACACGGACCGTCTCACGGTAAACACGGCATTACCGTCCGTGTAAACACGTACGGTAATCTGGGCCCGAGCAGCCGCCGCTGAGCCCGAACATGCCCCGAGGACCTCGACCTGGGCAACACTGTAGTATCCTTCATCCTTGGTCCCCTCGCCGTGTGCCGGTACCGGCACCGTGTCAGCATCCCATCCCTGCAGGACCCCTGTTTGGGTCACCTAGTGTTCTTGATTCCTCAGTCACCACACGTGTGGAGTTCTAGGGTCCTCAATCAAGCCCTTTCATATCGTATCCCTGCAGGACCCCTGTTTGGGTCGCCGAGCGTTCTTGATTCCTCAGTCACCACACGTGTGGAGTTCTAGGGTCCTCAATCAAGCCCTTTCATATCGTATCCCTGCAGGACCCCTGTTTGGGTCGCCGAGCGTTCTTGATTCCTCAGTCGCCACACGTGTAGAGTTCTAGGGCCCTCAATGAAGCCCTTTCATATCGTATCCCTGCAGGACCTCTGTTCGAGTCACCAAGGGTTGTTTATTCCTCAGTCACCACAGGTGTGAAGCTCTGGGGTCGTTAAGCAAACCCTGAAATCTTTTGCAGCCATTAGGTTGGTCTTGCAGGTCTCTTTTTGCAGGGTCACACGCTGTTGACTTCTTACAGGGCTCTTCCCTTGTCGTTAGCATGCATGTACTGTGACTTCCCCTTAAAGCGACTTACTTTATGAGCGTTCGTCGCCGAGCGTTCTGGATTCCTCAGTCACCACACGTGTGGAGTTCTGGGTTCTCAATCAAACCCTTTCACATCGTATCCCTGCAGGACCTCTGTTCGGGTCACCAAGGGCTGTTGGTTCCTCAGTCACCACAGGTGTCAGTCTGTGGTCGTTAATCAAACCCTGAAATTTCTTGCTTGTTTGTCTTTGGTCAGTTGGTCTTGCAGGTCTCTGTTTGCGGGATCACACGCTGTTGACTTCTTTCAGGGCTCTTCCCTTGTCGTTGGCATGCATGCACTGTGACTTACCCTTAAAGCGACTTATTTTATGGCCTCCCAGAAGAGGGCCGCTCACGGAGTCACACTCGTCGTAAGACTCCACCTCAGTCGCGTAAATCATCCGCCGTCATACCCCGATGCACCCTATCATGTGAGTCCATGCCGCTTCCCTACATGACGTGCAGTTCAAGTTATTCCAGCCATCACCTGTACATGCCTTGGGTAACCCCATTCCCAAGCACCTTTTAGTCAGGTGTGCGAGTTTTTCTAGTCGTGTTTGAGTCGTATATCCCTTTCAACGGCCTTGAGGACTGACAGCTGGGATTGACAGTGTTCTGAAAATGATATTTTTGCATACACTTTACTATTCCTGACTTTCCCCGGACCGTTAAACAGGTGGTAGATGGAGGTTGGATGGTCAGGGCTCACTTAAGACATTCTTATCCCGCTGCTTTGTCGTCTCACTCGTCAGCGCAGAGAACACTTTTTTGCCAGAGAGATCCGCTTTATAACCATGCGTTAACCTTGCACTCATCTGCGTGTCGGTCGGTTGACCAATTTTTCATCCAATTTAATGTATACGTCCGATCCAAAAAGTCTGGTCCCTCCTCGGGCAAATTCTCCGACAGCAGGCTGCCTATAACAGCGACACATTCTACCGAAAAGGTGCTTGAAATTGTGCAACGATCCTCGTGTGCTTCCCTCGGCACCTCTCTCCCCGGACCTGTGGAGTGGCCTTCCCCTCCGTAGCGAACGCGCGATGCTGCCTTTTTACTCAAAGTCCTTATCTGGCACAAGGTAAAGGTTGCGGTGGTTGCAGCATAACAAAGACTGTTGCATGGCCTCTTCAAGAAAGGGTCACACACTGACAGCAATAGTTTGAGAGTCCCATGGTCTGAACACAGCGGTTCAGTGAGTGTGTGTCGACGAAATTTTAGTGAAACTGCTATGACGAGCTGCGGGCTCCACTGGCGCATGCGCATTGTGAAACGTCATTTAAGTTATGTTTTGAGACGCGTTTGAATGTTTCATAGCTAGGTCCACTGCTCCCGCAGTGGCCTCTGCAAGCAGTAATCAGTTGCTTCAATCCCAATTCAGTGTTGCTAGAGGACCGTATCTGCCAACCAAGGGCTTCCCCAGGCTTCGGCGTTGATGTCAAACTAATTCCAGTCACGTGCTTCGCCGGTTAACGAATGATTGTCATCCAGTGTCGTTGGACCCGCTACCAGAAAGGTGTCCGTAATATGGGCCGCCGTCTTGAGGTACGGAACACCGTTTTTTAGCCACGAAACACCGTTTTTGAGCTACTCAACTTCACACTGGCCGCTCCGAAAAGGGATTTTTGCCTTATTCCTGGCAATTTTTACGATGGGACATAAGCTTTCCAAACACGCTGATTGTCCTAACTTGTTCCATCACCAGATCACTTGAAAGAGGTGCCGTCGTTCTCGTCAGCCTGCTTTTTTTGCGTATGGTTCGTCTTAACAAAAGATGACAAGCAAACTCCACGCGTTTCACATTTTAGAACTCTCTGTTTATGCTCCGCGTTTCAGGTTTTCTCAGCCGGGTAGTCTGGAGAAAAGAAATATTCACCAACTACGCCCATGTCTGCTGAACCCTAGATAACTTTGAACAGGGTAATTAGGAAGGAGGGGAACGACTTTGGCTGGCCTGCTGCGAACGCGCTGCCGATTCGGTGGCATGATCACTGATAGTGGCATCATATCAGGGCAACACAAAAAATATGTGAGGTAGGATAGAACTTCATACTAACGACGCCAGACGGCGGCCGGGCGCTCGTCGGTCTCCTCTGGCGGGCCATGCGTGTGCCGTCCACTCCACACCAGCAGCGGGTAGCAAATAGTGTGGGGAGGAGGGTGTTCGCGCTGGTAGCGACACGTCTCATTGACGTGGCACACAACGCCGTCGGCGACCTCTCCGCCGTACACGGTGAACGCCTCGCCGAAACACCGAGACACCACACCACCACCCGCCACAAGTAGCCCGCTAGGGGAGGGCCCGTGCGTCCCGCCTACCGAGCTCACCGCCGGGCCCGCTGTTCTCTCAGTTGGCTGTGCGGGCCCTCGTCCATCGGCCTCGGAAGTACCGGCCAATCCTCAAGTGGCTGCCCGCCGGGCGGAGTCAGGACTGTGGTTTTTGTGGAGTCGTGCGCACTTGAGATGTAGACCAACTGGAAGCGAGTTGTCTTCTATTCGTTTTCAGTGTTCAGCGGGCTTCGTTCGTCGCTAGCTCTGCTGTGTTCTTTCTCGTTGAAGTTTCTGTTACGACGTGCCAGCGGGCATGTAATGTTACCGCATCCACCGTGCGACCGTCCTCTGGTTAGGCAGTTCAATGGTGCTGCAAGCGGGGGAGAGCCGGGGTAGCCGCAGGGGCCACCCGGGCAGGCCAGAAACCGCCAGCATCAGGTTCCGGGACGGCCTGTAGCGAAGTGGCAGACAACAGGATGTGAGATGTTCAGCATGATAATAACAGTCTAGCGAATAGCTTTCCCACTGTTTGATCCTAGGCGGTCTCTCTCAGCAGATCCTTGCAGTCAGAGGCGGCGGATGAAGGCAACATAGGTAGGGGGTCGGGGGGGAGGGGGGCAGCCGTCCTTCCAATGTCGGGCAATGGTAACATTAACCGTATGGTTGTGCATGTCAAGAAAATGGTAAAATCAAAGCCCCATCTCCATGGAGATTCCACGGAAATTGTTAGCAGCCTGGCAGCGTTTCACGCCTACAAAACAAGCGTTATATCAAAACCGTGTAGAAAACAAATGACTCAAAAGCAATAGCTAGAGACAAGAAGGCTTTCCTTCTTATGTGTCAGCCGGCCTCGAGATCTGTGCAAATGAAGCTTCCACGTCAAGGGCCGTATGCCTTTTGCCGCGTATCGTAGCGTCTGAAAAATATGAATACAAAATAACTCTTGTGTTTCCCATGGCACGAATTTTCCGTGTTGCGGATTAGATCACCTTTACAGATAGAGGCAAGTTTAAGATGAACCAGAGTAATGGCTAGGTTTGTCCTTCGGACAGGTGCAAAACGTATGGTAGCTTCCTCGCACGTCAAAGTATGCGACCGGCGCTCCGCACTAATCGAGACAGCCCGCGTTCTGGGTAGGGGATGATCTGAACATGGGCACGTATAGAGAAAGGACGGGTGGGTAGAGTCATGCCCCCGAGACGCTGAAAAAGCTTGAACCACAATCTCGGTTTTCAAGAAACTGGCGCGATCTCTATGTGGAGCTTGGCTGCCTTTACGATGAGAAGCTAGATCCAGGAAATGCTGGTACTCGGGTCCAGCTGTGCTCTTGGCCATGCGGCACGCTGTCTGGGAAGGGCTTGTGGCGGTGGCGGAAGTCGGTCATCCACAGCGGGAGACTCACAGAGCGAGGATACCCACAGAGCCGGTAGGCGCACGGAGCGGAGAGGCCAACAGAGCGGACAAAGTTAATGTTTATCGATATCGGGAGTTCGTTGCTATGAGGAGTGATATAGAAGTGTTCCTGAAATCGTGGTTATGGCTGTGGAGGTGGAATATGAAGTTCATGTTGTGTCATATGTCATTTGTTCGTGTCATGTTTGTTCGATGTGATGAAGAAACTGTACTTTTTGATAGCCAAAGGCTCTTTTCCAGGGCATTTCAGTCTTCCAGTCCCACAGCAGTCTCAAAACTGGTGTAGTTTTTGTGCGCAGCGTCACTTGGCGCGTGTGGCGAATGGGCTTTCAATCTTGACAACCATGCTGCCGTCCAAAGGTAAAAACCCCATATGTTAATTTCTGGCCATTTTGCGTTTTTTATGTCATCTGATTCGTCTTCATATGCTGAATTCAGATATTCAAACCAAAAGTTGAAGTTTGCACAAGCTTTTAGGTACAAGAATGGGCTAAAAGCTGGTGAAGATCTGAATTCATGGTTTTAATCACCAAATTCAGCATGAGTAGACGAATCAGACGACATAAAAACGCATAACGGCCAAAAATGTACATATGGGGTTTTACCTTTGGACGGCAGCATGGGTTAGATCGTCGCCACTCCACTAGGATAGCTTTAGTGCTAAATTTTCCGAATGTGTTTGTGCCGTTTGTGCTCCATGTGGACGTTTATAGCAAATTGCTGGTAGCTGTACTTAGTTACTGGATGCTTTTTAAGCCTGTCGCCAGATGACAGATTGATTGATCAGATTGATTTAAATGATCAGATTCTGATCGTTGGCCGATTGTTTTTCACGCTCCAATAACTGATGTCAAATAGTGTCCATGTTATTGTGTACTCAGTGACATTTCCTGATCCCTCACATCCAGGCGTTCACTTTCTGAAATCTGTTGAGGGGGAGGGGCATTGTCAATCAAGTTCACCTAACCTACCAACAAAGTCCACTTTTCCCCGATCTCGGTCACCTTGGTTTACGATCCCAATGGGAAAATTTTACTTAAAAAATTTGTCGGCTCCTGAATTGTTTTGGTGTTGAAGAATGACATTCCAGTCGTGCCGACGTGGTCGTATAATGATGTGTAATGATGACGGTGATATTGCTAGCGATACATGCAGCTACCTAGTGTACCTGCGGCACCCACACTTGCTGTATTCATTTGCCCAACATTCCCTTTTTGGGGTAGGGGCGAGGGTTCAGAATAGCAAGGAGGGGCTCAAGTCAGCATTGGGAGCGGCCCACCAGCAGCGTGGGGCGCCTGAATACAACAGACGCGCCCCTGCCACCCCCAGTCCGCCGGAGGCCATGATGCGCCGGGGTCGTCGGACTGTGCAGGGTCGGCGCGCCACGTTCGACGCGTTCCTGCGCGGCGGCGCGGGCGGTGGTCACGGCGCCGCGCCGCCTCCGCCGCCGGCCGCGCCACCGGACACCGACCAGAGCAGCCCGGAGCGAGACGTCGCCGTGGAGACGATGCGGACCCTGCTGGAGGCGCGGGGCGTGAGGGCGCAGAGCTTTCCGGCCGCAGTGCTCCGCCACCTCGGCGCGCCGCCGTGGCGCGGCCGCATGGTGTGGACTCAAGACAACATCTCCACGGCAGAGAGCGGCAACCTCGACCAATGTGGGACATTTGTGAAACTTCTGCCGTGCCTCCGCTGTCGGTGTAGTACGCGGCTGGATGGAAGTGATCTGTGGTAGATGATGCTGTTTTTGAGACGTATTTGAGATATGTGAAACAATGTTGGCACGGTATGTGTAGCTAGGTAGAAAACCTGTTCCTCTAACAGGAAGTGCAAATGTCGGATGCAAGAATGCTCACGTTTTTACGTCCACCAGCCCAGACCAGATGAGGATGCCCCGTCCGTTTTGGTTGTTCCGCCCGCGTGTGCATTCGTGTGCCGTCGCCACCGGCAGTACTGCGACTGGATGGCCGCGACGAGGCCCAGACCCTGAAGCTGTTGCAGTGGCACTCCTTCAACCAGGTGGGCTGCGCCGAGCGGATCGGTCGCACCGCCCGCCTCACCATGCGCTCCGCCGCCGTGCTCTTCATCTGCGTGGCCGCGGCCCAGGTCAGTCGCTCCGCCGCCGTGCTCTTCATCTGCGTGGCCGCGGCGCAGGTCAGTCACTCCGCCGCCGTGCTCTTCATCTGCGTGGCCGCGGCGCAGGTCAGTCGCTCCGCCGCCGTGCTCTTCATCTGCGTGGCCGCGGCGCAGGTCAGTCACTCCGCAGCCGTGCTCTTCATCTGCGTGGCCGCGGCGCAGGTCAGTCGCTCCGCGGCCGTGCTCTTCATCTGCGTGGTCGTGACGCAGGTCAGTCGCTGCGCCGCATCTCGCCACGAGCGCCAGCGGCTCGGGCGGTACAGCTCTTGTAGGTGCTGCTATTGACAGGATGACATTCGAAATCGGGCGAAACGCGACTCAGGCGGGTCCTGTCCATAATCATTGATGTTGTGGCCTCTTCTGACATGCGTACGGATGCGGCCCCATGTAGGTCAAGAACCGACGCATGAATGACCAATAAAATAACCGCATCGATAGTGAGTAGACGAAATAACGAGTGGGATGGACTTGAACCGGGTTCATATTAAGACTTGTTTGATCCAGCTGCAACAATAATCGTGAGTTCAGAACCGCTAGTCATGGCCGTGGAAGCGAAAGCACGCGCTTTTATTGCACGTCAATATTCTCCATCGTTCGTATGGGAAACTTACCACAACTTACGAATGTTCCATCCTTAATGTCGAGGCGGCCGTGCCTGTGCCATGCGCCTGATAGCCCTGGGCGCCGCCGGAACCCTCGTCCCACGCATTTCACACATTCTTCTCGAGCACGCAGCTTTGAGTAAACGCGTCTGAGCGCCTTCAGCATCGGCTGGCTGTGCGGCCGCTCACCGAGCCCCGCCGGTGAGCGCGGCTGCCGTGCTGGTGCAGGCTCTTGTACCTGTGCTGCAGGTGGTGATCGTCATCCTGGGCCGGTACACCGCTGCTGTGCTGGTGCAGGCTCTTGTACCTGTGCTGCAGGTGATGATCGTCATCCTGGGCCGGTACACCGCTGCTGTGCTGGTGCAGGCTCTTGTACCTGTGCTGCAGGTGGTGATCGTCATCCTGGGCCGGTACACCGCTGCTGTGCTGGTGCAGGCCCTTGTACCTGTGCTGCAGGTGATGATAGTCATCCTGGGCCGGTACATCCAGACGTCGATAGACACGGCTTACCGCTGGGGTAACCCGATGCTCTCTGCCCCCGGCTACCTGTTCGGCACCTACGCGGAAAAACCAGAGGTGAACGCCTTAGTTCAGAGGGGTCTGCGCTTCGATCGCATGGCGCTGCACAGTTCGGGCCAGGGGATTTGCTTCGTGTGCGTATCTTTACGAGGGAAAACATGTCTGCACGGAGTGTTTCAATGAAGAGAATCAGATGGTTCGTGCAGGGTTGCATGCCTACGCAGATCGCTTCCTTTGGTTCATTGGTTGGAAGCAAAGTGAGCTCGTGGTATCTAAGGGCTTGGAAATTGGGCGTGCCAAAAAGTATTTGTATTATTTTTTCTTGAACGGACAAGCAAATGTCCAAAAGCTGCCATTTTCAAATATGCCAACAAGCTGTCAAATCTAAATGGACCTCGAACACCCAATCGATTGACAATTTTCGCTTTCAGCTTGACCATAAGACCCTTGATGTGTCTGGAGAAAACTGTTGGAATATCTCTTTGAAAGTTTAGAAAATTTTAAAGGGAGTTCTCCACATTTGTATGGCGTTTTGAACAGAAATACCCATGTTGAAGATCATTTACTGCAGTTCACAGCCCTGCTCTTCTTAACACCTGAACCTGAGCTACACGTCCGTGAAGATGCGCAGACTGCGTCGTGCAGACTATTTCAAGGATCCCAGGCATTCGTGCCGCCATAATAATGCTATTCATATCCTTCCATTCCATTACCCATGTAACAGTCGAACTGTGTTGTCTAGAGCCGTCTTTTCCATTTAAAAGTGTGCCGATGGCTATAAGTGAGATTGTTCCATCATGTCTTATGCTTGCAGCAAGATCTTCAAATGATTCACATCAAATTGTTTGAAACACTTCCGTTTTGAAAACATTGCTTGCCGTAGATCACTAGACCACTTCAAACCGTTTTAGGATGACGTAGATATCATGCGAGAGGATGCAGAGTAAGAACGTCACACACCCAAGACCTTTATGAAGGCGACTTCCGCGTCCTGGTGTCTCCGTCGTGGACGGCGAGGAGCCCACGGAAGAGGCGGATGCGACAGTAATGACCTCAGGTGGTACGAGCGCGCCTGAGGATGTGGCTAGTCCTACGACATCTTGTACAAAAACATCCACTCCAATGAAATATAATTCAAAGACATGTGCTCCAAGATGTCCAGTGCTCAGGCGTCTACTCAAAGAAAGTCTAGTCACAAGAAAGCTAGCCCAAGGAACCATGGTACAACGAAAAGTGATTCTAAGAGATTTGGTTCAAGAAGCTCTTGTCCAGCAAGGCTAGTACGGGGGAATCCAGTGCGAAGACCAATCCGAAGAAGTCTGACCACGCGTAAACCATTTCCGAGAAACGAACACCGAGAAGATAAAGACTAACAATGTCAGCCCGAAATGCAGCTGAAGTAACGAGAGCAAGTGGACACACAGTCCGAGAAGAGCCTCTGCAACCGTTCTTCGAGGAAAGCAGCGAAGCATTCCCGGGACCGTCCGAAAGTCGAAAAACGCACGGTGGCCTTCCAAAGGCAAAGCTAAGGTGACGAGCATGAAGTCTAAAAAGAGAAGTAGCAAAAAAAGGAAATGAAAGGTTCACGCTGTAAGGCATAGTGCCTATAATAGCATGTCCACTATCCGCATCAGCGGGTGTTTGTCACGTGCCAGTCCACTCCAGCCGATGTTGTTCCTAGTTTTTCCGGGTTTTTTTGGCGGCTGGGATAGACACATGGCGTTTTGCCCTCGGTTCCTCCATTGTGTGAGCGCGCTGCCGTGGAGTGGAGCCTGAGCCCCTCGAAAAGCGTTGCGCGCGTGTTCGGGTTTTTGGTCGATATGCTTGTGACCGGAGCGGGTTTGTAATAAATCATTGTCAAACCCCGATGTCGTGCTGCGGCATTTTGTGGAATGTGGAGACATGTTCGACGTCTGCAATGTTGCGTCACGAGCCAAAATGCCAGACGAATGAACGACGTTAAGATGGGGGGCCGAGAGTGGGGCGTTTGACACTGGAGGAGGAATGCAATGCTGTTCGCCGCACACCGGTCCCCAGTGAATGGTAAAGGGCAGGTGGACTATGGTCACTAGCCGTAAGTGTACGGGCATGTCTTGCTAAAAAAATGTGATCCCGTTCCTCGTAGGTTGACGTGGTCGCAGCTAAAAATGCTACATTGGGACCTGTCAGTCATGGCAGATGATGACGTGCACGATACGTGCAACACGCGCCCGGGTGGCCGGTTGGATACCCTTCGCTTGGGAGGGTGGGAGTCAATTGACCCCCTGAGATCTCAGAAATTAAGAGAGCTAGAGACACCAAATTCACAGGGCGTGTCGAACTGTATGTAAACTCATTTGTGTCAAAATTTGGGGTTCCTAGGTCATGGCCTTCCGGTCAAATAAGGTCAAACACGATCGAACTCCAGATTGGTGTCCAAAGTTTCCCCAGAACCCAGATACATGTTCTAAGCAAAATACCAGCGGTGTTCATTTAATGCATTATGTTTCTAAAAGCAAAGTGTTGACCCAGGTCATGTTAGGTTAGTCACCCATTGTGACCTTTAGGAGGCCCATGAAATATGTATAATGCGGTTCCTGTTATCAATAAATTCGAAATGAGCACCAGAAACTACCCCACACAGCAAACTCTGGAGTAATGAAGCAGGCTAGTCTTGAATTTAGTCTGACCTTTTCACCTGACCCTAGGCCAGTGAGATATGTTCATTCAATAATTGTGTTGCCTACGAAAGTATTTCAGAGATGCATGACTTCGTCTAGCCCTCCGCTGTTGCATCATTTTGAACAATTTCCTAGCAATTGTCTTCGCTAAATTCATGGCATGACTGACCTGCCGTATGCCACCGATCTTACAAGGCACATCTACAGTTTGGATATCAAACGATCCCCTAATCATCTGTCTACAGCTGCTATGCAAAATTTGGCGTGGCTACGCTGCACCGTTCTGAAGCCTTTCCGGGAAAACCTTTAAGGTTTTGGTTGGCCTCCGCCCACCTCAGCGCGTGCAATTAACTGTTTTAGACATGAAGCATGCAGAAAATCCCACGGTTTACGAGAGAGGCAGCATACATCACTGGCAACCAGGGACCCGCCCTCGGAAGTTCGTAGAATAGTGAAGGAAACCGATAGCATTATCAGTTATAGCTTGGCTGTAGGTGATCTGGGCGTTTTGGGAGGGAAAGCTTGTACAGATTATCGAATCATTAATCGGTTAATATTAATACACGAATTATGCAAACACGTCATCCAATATAACTGTCAGGAAAAACGCGTCGTGCATAAATTACATAAGATTACCGATGCGTTCGATGCATGTTGCGCACCACCACCTCTGAAGCTTCTGCCAAGAAATTGAACCGCTGTGTCATCTTTTTAGGACGTTGAAAGTCTGCTGCAGGAAGATCTGGTGGCCGGCCAAGTATTGGACTCGATGGAGAGCGACACCGATCTGACGAGCGCCCACGACCAGCTCTCCGACCTCCTGTACGTCGACAACAGCGACGCCTCGCCTACCGACTCGGACAGCTCGGACAGCGGCACCTCTACCGATGGTGACGCCCTAGACGGCGACAGTCTGGACGGCACTTTCACCGACGGTGACGCCCCAGACGGCTACAGTCTGGACGGCACCTTCACCAACGGTGACACTCCAGACGGTGACAGTCTGGACGGCACCTTCACCGACGGTGACGCTCTGGACGGCCACCGTCTGGAGGACGACACCCCGGACAGCGACAGCCCGCACGTCAGCTCTCTGGACGGCGGTCTGGGGAGCGAGGGGCAGGGGCGCCCGGAGCGCCCCGAGCCTCTGGGGGACGGGGTGACGACCATCCTGGGACCGAGCGCCACCGTCACCCCCGCGTCGACAGAAGTTGGGTGGCAGGGTAGCCCGGAGGCGGCCAGTGTCGGTGACGATGGTGACGGGGTGGGAGACGAAGAGGACAGCGACACTCCCAGCGTAGACGAAGAGGGTAGTGATACTCCCAGCGTAGACGAAGAGGGCAGCGACACTCCCAGCGTAGACGAAGAGGGCAGCGACACTCCCAGCGATCAAGACTGGTCCTCAGTCGAGACTTCCGAAGACGAGCAGGATTACGACGAAGATGAAGAGGGAGATGACGGGGACGGCGACGGCGGAGGCTTCTTCGGAAGGGTTGGCAGGTTTTTCCGGAGGAGATCGGCGGGCAGCGCCAACGCCAGAAACGGCGACGATGGTAGGGACCCCGGCGGCGACGACGACTGGTCAGATGAAGCTGACAGAGACGGTGGAGCCGATGACGATGACGACGACGCCGGGGACTGGAGTCTCGGCGGGGGTGTCGAACACTTTGGTCAAATGGTTGGAGACGGAGTGGCCGACGCCGCCGGCGGGGCCGCCGACTTCGTTGGTGGACTGTTCAGTCGAGGAAGGTCGGACTCGGCTGACGACGGTGACGACGATGACGGCGGCGGTGGCGGCGGTGGCGGCGGCGGTGGCGGTGGCGGTGGCGGTGGTGATGACGATGATGATGCAGGTGGACAGCACCAGCGGCGAGCGAGCCGTGGACAGACCGGCGAGGAGCGCCACCAAGGGCGTGACCCGATGCACAGTTCCTCGAAGACGAACGCTAAAGGCGAGAAGGGAACGGATGCCCACAAGGATAGCACCTCCAGCTTGAAGCATAAGAACCGAAAGGGAGATAAAGATAAGCCTGATGGTGATCACGATGCGAGTGGAAAACGTAAGTCAGACGGCGATCTGGACAAACACAAACGGAAGGGTAAAAAAGACAAAGAGAGCGATCATCTAAAAGGTCAGCATAAGACCAGTGAGCATGACAAGCTGGATAAAAAGAAACACAAGAAAAATAAGAAAATGGACGATGATAAGAAGCATTCGAAGTCAGGTCATGAGACCAGCGACAATAAAGATAAGGATAAAAATGACCGTTCAGAGAAAAAACGAAAGAGTGGAAAACATGACGTGAAGGGCAGTGACAAAGAGTCTGGGCACAAAAAGAAAGGAAAACACAAAAAATCCAAAGAGCAGGATGAAAGCAAGAAGTCTGATGACAAACATGACAAGTCTGCCCGGAAAAGGAAGCATGACCCCCAAAAGAAAAAACAGCGTACGGAGAGTAGCGGCGATGGAGAGCATGGAGAAAAGAAAAAACGCAAAAAGACTCACGCGGATAAGACGCATGCCGATGGAAAGGCTTCACATGAACGGAAAGACAAATCAAAGTCTCCTAAGGCAGAAGACCACAAAAGTGATTCGGGAAAGAAGGGTCGTCATTCCGAAAAACGTACTGACAAACATCATAGAGCAAAGCGTAGTGCAGAACGTAAAACAGGGAAGTCTGACGATTCACGTACCAAAGGGGAGCATGAATCACGGAAAGACAAACACCAAAGAAAATCTCGGAAGCGTGACACATCTGGTCATGCAAAGTCAAAATCGTCCAGCTCAAAGGATGGCAAACACGCAGATCACAAATCTAAAGGAAAGCACGCATCTCGTAAGGAAAGATCACGTAGCAAAAACAAAGAGCATTCAGCCCGATCCAAGGACAGCCACGGTTCGGGAAGCAAGTCATCGTCAAAGACGCGCTCGTCGAAAGGGAACCGGAGCAAATCTCATCGATCAAAGGGTCACAAGAACAAGTCCAGCGCTTTAAAAAGCTCCAAAGGCAGCAAAAGTTCAAGAAGTAAGTCATCGAAGTCTTCAAAAAGCTCAAAACGAAGCAAGAGCTCGAGAAGCAAGTCATCAAAGTCTTCAAAAAGCTCCAAACGCAGCAAGAGCTCGAGAAGTAAGTCATCGAAGTCTTCAAAACGCTCCAAACGCAGCAAGAACTCAAGAAGTAAGTCACCGAAATCTTCAAAACACTCCAAACGCAGCAAGAGCTCAAGAAGTAAGTCATCAAAATCTTCAAAACGCTCCAAACGCAGCAAGAGCTCAAGAAGCAGATCGTCTAAGTCCCGCTCATCGAGCAGGAGCCGTGGGCGGTCCCATCGATCAAAGAGCAGCAAACGCTCTTCCAAGCATCGGAAACGCCATAGCTCAAAAGACAAGCGCAGGAAGGCCAAAGGCGCTAAACGCCACAGTTCGAAGGACAGGCGCAAGAAAGCCAAACGCGCCAAACATAAGAGCCGGAAGCACCGCAGTAAGAGCAGACGTGCGAAGTCAAAAAAGCGTCACAAGCGCTCTAAAAGCAGATCGCGCAGCAGCAAGCGCAGGCACAAGTCACGCCGCCACAAGTCTAAGCGCGGTAAGCGTAGCGGCGGCAAGAGGTCGCGATCAAGAAAGCACAAGAGTCGGGGTCGCTCAAGGAAGGGTCGTCGCAAATAAGGCCGATCGGTTGCAACGGAGCGCACGGCAGCCGCAGAGTACGCTGTTGAGTGCCAGAGTAAGCGTTAGTACCAGAATGGTTCGAAGTGGTCATGCAATGTCGACGGAAGCATTTTCCTCTTGCCGCGGTACCAATTGCAAGACCATCCCGCAAGGCACCGCATTTCAAAAAGGCGCCGCGGTTTGCCTGTCATTTGCTGCGAGCAATGCAAGCGTGTCAGCGCGCGCGCGCCAACCACGGACCATTTGAGCGGGGCTCGAGCTTGATCGACTTATGGCTGACTCAGGCGTGACCGGGAGCTGCGATGTGGCGGGAGGAGGCAGCGGCGGCCGTCGGCTCCAGTCGCACGAGCCGCTCCGCACAGACACTCACGGCTCGGGGCGTGACCGCCTCAGTCCGCCCGGTGCCGGGAGCTGTCAGCCGGCCGGCCACGGCGGCGCGGAGGCTCAGCCCATGAAAGGTCGGCCACGGCGGCGCGGAGGCTCAGCCCATGAACGGCCGGCCACGGCGGCGCGGAGGCTCAGCCCATGAAAGGTCGGCCACGGCGGCGCGGAGGCTCAGCCCATGAAAGATCGGCCACGGCGGCGCGGAGGCTCAGCCCATGAAAGGTCGGCCACGGCGGCGCGGAGGCTCAGCCCATGAAAGGTCGGCCACGGCAGCGCGAAGGCCCAGCCCATGAAAGGTCGGCCACGGCGGCGCGGAGGCTCAGCCCATGAACGGTCGGGTCTTTAGCCGCCCACAGGCGCCAACGCTGGTGACTGTCGTCCTCGTCATCGCATTGGGCGTCAAGGGCATTGCAGGGTCGTGCGGTTCGTATCAATGTCCACGTTATCGCAGCGGAATAAGTCATAGCGAGTGTTCGGATGTCACTAGTTTTCGCCGCACAATATCTTGTAAGTGTGTGTGTGGGGGGGGGGGGGGGATGGAGAGATAAACAGAGTCGGCCAGCTGCTCGAGACCGTGGTACGAATCAAAGCCGAGCGCATTGCCACCCAATATGAGCCGATCTCACACTATGCTTGCGTTATCGATCTCACACGAACTTTAATTCAACAGAAGTGATCACTGCAGGCACGCGGGTGGGTAGGTCATGAGTATGATCGTCGGGCACGAACACATCAACTTCTAATAACGCGTGAAAGCGGTCCTAACGAACTGGGAACAGCCAAGACGATTACTATGCCTAAGCATTCACAAAACGAGCGCAGGAGACCTCAAGGTTACACTATTACTGCCCATCCGCCCACGGTCTGCTGGGCTGCTTGGAACCATTTAGTAGAAAACGTGCGATACACGGCACGTCAACGTGCCTGTGCTATGGTAGCTTCATCGCAGATATGGCGGTTATGCGCGTTGTGTATGAAAATGCCACCAAACTTACATGGCTGGAACAGTGCAGTTTTGAGATGAACACATGCGGGGCACTCAATGCCTCATTGGAAATCGTAACCAGCGTCATCTCCAGGTCCCAATCACCACGACCAGCGGCAGGTGGGGGCAATGTTTCATTCATTGGCACCAAGCGGCACGGTGGGAGGGTCGCCAACTTCGTCTACACCGCGTCCAGTCCTTTGTAAGACGTGATGCCAGTCCACCAACGTGCAGGTTCCCGACCATAATGCGCAGAACGGAATGGGTCTAGCGAGGTGTAGCCGTCACGTACGTCGCACAGGACATCACTTCATCCGAGTTGTCTTGAACTCTCGTGGTCCGACTGAACCGCGTTACTTTATGTTCTGATCGGTGACCTAATCCACAAGCCACCAGAAACGTAAGCTCCCTGCAAACATATATTGCAGACTTATGACGCATCAAACAATTTTCGCCAAGCATCAGCGTTGACGACAGTGGCGCCACCATTGCAGTTACAGAACGTCATTGAGTCAACTGGGTATCTCAGTGCGTACCCCCCCCCCCCCCTTCTCCCCCCCCACGCACGCACACACATATTCCAACTGAGAAGTACAAAGTCACAGCCCTATTCGCCACCATTCAATTAACAGTTCATGACTGCACATTGCAAACGTGGCGAGTGTAATAAAGTTTCTGCCTTTCATAGCACATGCCAATAACATATTACTACAAATGAGAAGAAATTCCCTGGTTGAAAACGTCAGCTTCAGATATTTCTCTTGACAGCACTGAAATGTTCCCTGAAATCCTTTGTTGAGTTTTAAGGACACGTCAACAGCATTGATTATTTGCGTCCCTGAAATTCGTCGTTCAAAAAACAATTACTGTTATGGGCAGCGACAGCACCAGCACTGCCCCTCACGTGCCAGACGCGTTCAGGTCGGCCTCCCAGAGGACACGGTAGCCGAGTCTCTGCGCGAGGCGCGCCTTCAGCCGCAGCAGTCCGACGGCGCTGTCAGGGCCGCGGCCGAGCCGCCCGTCCGGCCCGTCCGGCGGCGGCCTAAGCAGCAGGTGGCCGTCCACCAGCTCCACACACTCGCGCTCGCCGGCGCCGTCCACCAGCACGCTGGCCACGTTCACGTGCGGCACCGGGTGGCCGAGGTGGACGCACCGGTGCGGCCGGGCGAGCCGCAGCCGCTCGAGCAGCGTCGCCAGCCCCGGCCGGTGCGCCAGCTCGCGCCGCAGGTCCGGCGCCGGCAGCGACTCGGGTCGCAGCGCCGCCTCCAGGCTCGGCAGGCGCAGCTCGGTCTCCAGCGAGGCGGCCAGACGCAGCAGGGCCAGACGGCTTAGCTGACGGCTGCGGCCGGCTTCTGCCGACGGAGGGCGCCACGGTCCGCTCATGGCAGCGACGGAGAGAACGCCTAGCTCTCGAGGAGGTGGTACGCGTGGTGAATGGTGGTAATCGCGATGAGCGTGCTGATGTTAATGATGTTAAATCACAGTAGTGGCAACAGCTTCTCAGTAATGCAGTTCACGAACGTGGTAGCAGACTGTGCACCGACAGCCGACTTGCTGGACTCAGCACGGAGGATGGATGACTGGTGGTTACCCTTTAAAGGTTCCATGTTACACAGTGGGGCAATCGTTGCACACGTGTTCCTCAACCACCTCTGACACAGCCAACACACGGTCGCCGTACCTGCCAGCTTGAGCGCCACCTCGTCGGTGAGCACCCGCCGCAGCAGCGTCTCTGGGTAGTGTCCGAGCGTGGCGAGCGAGAGCAGCGTGTCCACCAGCGGCAGTGGCACCTCCAGCGGCGGCCAGCGCTGCATGTGCTGCTCCACCAGCCGCAGCGAGGCCGGCTCCGGCGTGTGGCCCAGGTGGCTGAAGGCGTACAGCAGGCGCGCCACGTCCTTGGGCCGGCCGTCGGGCACGGCGGAGCTCACCGCCGGCTCCTCCAGGCGGCGGCGCAGGACCGCCTCCAGCGCGACCAGCAGTGGCGTGTCGCGCAGCGGCGGCGCGCACAGGCAGGCCGCCAGGTGCGCGGCGGCCGGCAGCGCCAGTCGCGTGCCGCGCCACGCCACAAACTGCCGCAACGCGGCGAGCAGCGGCGCGGCTGAGACGCGCGCCAGCCGCAGCGCCTTGAGCAGCGCCACCAGCGAGCCGGTGTGGCCGCCGTCGGCCGCCAGCCGGGAGGCGGCGTCCAGCAGGCGGACGCGCAGCCGGCCGCTGGAGACGGCGGCGCCGCAGCGGAACGAGGCGGAGCTGAGCGCCACCAGGTCGGCGCTGGACAGCAGTGCGGCCCGTTCGGCCAGCCGGCGCTGTATTGCCCGCCAGATGGCAGCCGGCGGCCGCAGTCGCGTCAGGCCGGCCACGTACAGCGGTCGCAGCACGGCGCGTGTGGAGTCGTCCGAGCCGATGTTTGTGAGGGCGGCAGCGACCGTCGGATGCAGGACGGTGCGGGCCGGGCCGCGGGCGTTCAGGGCGGCTGACACCAGCAGCAGTTCCTGCTGCCATGGTGAATAAGAGGAGCACTGAAGCTGCTCCAGGGCAGTGTGCAGTATCAGGGATGAGCCATGGGTGCCTTGCTTGTCAGGTGATGCCAACATCTGGATGCTTTTGCTGAAGATGGCACTTGGGTCAACTGTGGCATCTGGTGACCAATTTTCCTTAGTTTTCTCAGCATCTAAGCTGGCATGCCTATGAGCTGGCTGAATATAGCATGGGTACAAATGATTAATTATTTTTAGCTCCAAAATGTCTGCATCAGCATCTCTTTCTTCTATCAGCTCACATGACTTGCAAAATTGTCTTGGAGCAGAGGGAAGAGATAAAAACAGTCTCTGCAATGTTGTAAATCTTACCATGCCCTGTGGTTTTAAGCAAATGGTGTTGGTGTATGTGAACAGCCGGGTGTGCATGCTTGAACACGCCTTATGACCTGAAAAATGGGGTATTATTGACAACATTTAGCTTACAAATGTAACCACAGCTACAAAGGCCTAGCAACATAAAATTTTAGGTGAAGAAAGCCTATTTTATTGAGATCAGCACAAAACAGTCATCAGTGATGAATAAAGGCAAGCAGGTACCAAGATTAAAACCTCATTTATGACTACATACATTTCTCTACTGGTTCAACCCTGTCCAAATCCTTGACAAAAGGTCCAAATTCTGAATTTTCACAAATGCCTTGGATCATAAACAGTACTAACCTCTGATAGATTCCTATGCTGCATCCCAGATCATGCACCTTAGACACAGATACATGAAGAGAGGTATTCCATTAAACAAGTGGCCTAGACAAGCATGTGAAGCGGATGCCCAGGTATGGTTTGCACTTACATGCTGAGCCTGTCCTTTACTTTTTCAGATTGCCATGAAACAAATCATGAGTTCAAATAAACTGCCGACGCCACATTAGATTTACCTGTGCCTCCCACCAAAGCTTTATGCTGTTGAAATGTGCTTTCTTATCTTTCAAATCAAGTCAGAAAGGTCATTGTAACATCTTACTTTCTCCCATCATTGCTCTAATGATGATTCCCAAATGGGGCAACAGCGCGATCAACATCAAAACCAAAATCAAAATAATAAAAACATGTTTTTAGCAGTGTTTAGCAATGTTCAGTATGCGCCCGGAAACGTCGCATACCCGCCGTAGTTGTCCGGCTGCCATATTTTGAATGCGAGAAATAGGAATAGAAATCAAAGTACGTGTAAAAAGCTTGACACTCAAGGCGCCGAAGGGTTCGCGAATTTGGATCCCACCGTAACGCAAATAACCAGCGTGATTCACGTGCCCTTAACTCACCAACAATATGAATTTGATACCAGTATGCAACGCTGTAAACATGTTGCTGCCTTTCATATACCATCATAATAAGACGAGCTGTGCATTTTCATGAGGTTTTCGCCA